GTTTTCCATACAAAGTTTGCTCTCCTTCTGAGTGGCTACTCTCCTAAGACAGCAAATACATATTTTTGAAGACTCGTTTTCATGAGGATTGAGTTGTCTTAAGTCTGAAATTATTTGGTAGAAAGATGACCATGTCAGTACAATTGGTTGAATGCAAGCGATGAAATTCAAAGGCAGACAGCTTAAGCAGTATCAGAAGTTACGCTTTAAGTAACATTACTGGATACAAAGTGAGTAAAGAGAAGACAGGCAGGAAAGAATCTCTATAAATCTGTAAATTTTGTCTTCATTTCATGTGACTCACTGACCTCAAGAGCTTTTGGCATATTCAGTACTTCTGAAAATCAAGACACCTTTTCTGACCATCTCTCTTCAGACACAGGGCCTAAATTTTGACTCTTTTGCATTTTTGTCCTACGCGCTTTGAAGAGTGAAGTTACTTGACAGAAAGAGGGGGACATAACTGCAACTAGTGAAACAAGAAACACGCAGTCTGCTCAACGAAATCCAGAAAAGGAGATAATACAAGCCTAATGATGAGACTGTGAAAAGTGACCAGGTAATTAGGTGTCTTCTTCCTCCTCCCCACACTATGTAATGATGAGGGCCAAACTCAGCTGCTGAATTTCCAGCAGAACAGAGAGTTCACCCTGTAAGGAAGCAGGAACGGACTTTTTCTCCATCCCTACTGTCCAGCTTGAGAGGAAGAGAATAACGGCATCCTATACAGGGTACGGCGCAACAGGTCCTGCTGTTGCAGTGCCTGCTCACCCTCGGCATACTCCCACCTTCCCAAAAAGTCCCGACTGCTTTACAGTGGTGGTTGTTTTGGAGAAAAATCATGAGGAAAACGGGGACAGACTAGAGAAGTGACACGTGGGCTTTGGTATCTGTACTCCTAGTGGACTGGCGCAAGACACTGCTGCGGCTGGCTGGTGGGCCGTGCCGTTTAGTAGCCCCCAAGGCCCTTTCCTTCCCTTGCGCCGCATCGGGGCTCCCCGGTGCGGGGCTGCAGCTGCCCCGGGCGCAGCAGGGAGCAGCCAAGGGGCC